GCATTAAATGACATGTACAAAGTAGGCTCATTGGTTATCGGGGCTTCTACCAATCGCCTTCCAGTATTTGTGGCACCGTTCTTTCTCTGTCAATCAAAGGCTTGTCGTACTAAATAAATGGAGAAAATCAAGCCGCGGGATTCAAATGCACGTCCTCAGGGTTGATTATTTTACGACGTTACCACCGAGCCTCCCTCCGCCCCACCATAGGTCATTGGTCTCTTCGATCCACGTGCACCAGCCCTGCCAGATTCAGGGTTGTTATTGCTTGACACAATAAGTTTGATTGTCGCGCTGGTGCCGTTGTAGTGACTTATTTTCATGGTTTTCCGATGTGTTGTTTCTGCCGGATTGTCCCACAGTTTGAGGTTTGTGCACTGTACATCTTGTCATTTATCTCCGAGTTCGTGTTGCAGTACCGTGCTTTGATAAACCTGTTTTGATACAAGGCATTGGTTTGGTTGGTTTCACGCGTCAGTCTGACGTGGATTATTTGCTACCGTGGGATTAATAACGCTTAAGTCGGGAGTTAGCTGTGGTGATCCAGGCCTACACGATGGCGCCTACCCTGGAGCGGCGCGTTACAGTTTCAGGACATTCGCGATCAATCAAGTTTGAATGCTGACGTCAGTGACACGGGCATGGCTTCTGAATACACGTCATTGGTGGATGGTGCCAGCCAATTCAAGACAGTGCAGACAGAAGCAAGATTATGCAAGCAGTACTGCAATCCCATTGGTGGAAGCCCAGATAGCCAATAATCTCCGTTTGTACATATTATTAAATCACCTTCATTTCTTTCAATAAAGGAACTACTGCTTAATACCATTCCTGTGGCCTTTTCCTCGCGTCTCGTTCTCGTGGGACATTGCGAATCCGTGCCATTGTGGTCCAGTTCTTCTGAGATCCAGTCCGTGATAGCTGATTATTAATTCTGGTCCTGTGATTCATATTGCGTGGTTGGTGTTCCGAATTCCGTGCGTATTACTACTACTACTACTACTGCAATCATTACATTAGCATTGAACCTTTTGGGACACCGGAGTTAACACGGATCTCTCGAAAAATGTCTCCGTTACGAACCGAGCTTAAAAGCTCAGGAATAAAGAAAGCTTCAAATTCACTTGATGAAACAAGTCGAGTCCAAAATGTGAAAGTCTTAACAGGAGCCCGTCACGCCAAAAGCGGTCGATCGCCTTGGAGATATAAATGAAAACTAGATTAGACTTATTTTGGTGGTTATTGGCAGAAGACCTAATGTGCGACTTGTCGTCAGGTTGTCAGTATATCTATGAAAGCCAAGGCCATGTCATTGGTGGCTGGGGTGTTTATAGCGTTCCGAACGAAGGTGAGCTCTTGGATAATCACTAGCTCAACAAAGTTTGGAAGGGAGAAGACAGTAATGATAGCAGGATGCATCCCGTTAAAAGAAAGGGAAGATATGAACGGTTTTCAAACAGCTGAGGAAACATCATTAGGAGTATCTTGGGAGAAGAGAAAATGGGGCACGACTGATTGGAAAGCATCCCAGTCGATTGGCTTGAATGTATCCAGCATACAAAGTGCTTGATCAACAGTCCTAATTGTGGCTTGGTAATAAGAAGTTGGATCATGCTGATTAACATGTGAGATAAGACTGGTTGCGGAATTGGGGGCAAATACCTCAGCCGATGGCAAACATCAATAGAAGACAGTACGGTGACCGATACTGAATGAAGAAAGGGGGTAAAATGAACGTACTTAAGATATAAATAGATAACGGGGTTTTCATCGTAAAATCTGTACGGCAGTTGCAGAATAATGAATGAGAAAACTCATAAAACATTCAATGCCATATTACAATACAATATTTGAATTCTCACTGATGATTGGTTGCTAACCTTCGCGAAACAGAGACACATAGAGAAGATAAGGAATACAGTAATTGACTTTAGATCCGTGAAGGAAAACGTTTGGATTAGCCATGACGTTGAAAAACCAAAAAAACAAGTTTATTTTTGGTGACGACGTTTGAGCATGACGCACAATTACTTCAATAACATCCGTTCCAAATTTGGTTCTGATATTTTGAAACAGTAATTGACCTTTTACAATAAAGCACGTTGATTAACTGTGACGATTAATGAAAGCTCATTTTTTGTAACGGAACAATCAAGTAATGATTCAAATTTGCATTCACCCCGCATTCATGATCGAGCTGTTCCTATTCGATTTCCTCGGTTCCTATTGTCTGTCAGAAAAGTATATTTAGAATATTCCGCAGTCGGTGCCATTTTGAATCGCTGGTTAGTGCTGCGCAGCCGTAACGGTGCTATTTTGATTGAATTGTGAGCCGTGTGCATTTCTCGCGAAACCTGGTTTATGTTGGTTTCTTTTCTGTAATTAGCAGTTTGACTGTAAAGGATCTCTGCACGATCACGAACATACTGTTACGCGAGGATCCCCATGAGAGCACAGAAACATTAATACTTGGTCGTGTTAGCAGTCATGTTTAGAGTGACCGGCCTTCACGATTGGCCACGGGTGTTTGTGTATCCAATATCTGCCCGAGTGAATGTCGAGACGAAACAGATGACAGCCTTATAGTAACGTTAATTCAGAGTGCCACTGCCCATTACAAAGATAAATGCACATATTTCAGGCTGAAGTAGTAATGGATTTTGTTTACCGTCCATTATTTTGGTTTGATGTATAATACTGTGCAAACCAAGTGTACGCAGCCGATACAAAGTGAACAACGAGGACTGACCAGGCAATATGAACAACAAGAGATTACGTTTTTGATACAATCGAAACATACGGCAGGTAAAAGTTTTCCCTTCTCTCCAAATTATCCACGTTAGTGACTCTTGCATTCCTTGAGTTTGCTTGTATCGATTCAAAATGTATATTCTAAAAGTTTGTTCCGTTTCATGAAGGAATCCACAATTTTTTTAGACGTTTTAATTAAGTGACGAAGAAAATCTATCCAACTCTTAATCGTCAATTACAAATATTCGTCTCTTTAATTGAAAGCAATTGAAAAAAATTATAAAAAAGCATTTTCTTGAGGGAGTTATTGAATACAAAAATAAGATCCTTCAGTCATTATCGAATACATAATTTTTGTTGTATTTAACTGTAATAAGTTGGGTGTTACGTGTGCAACAATAAACCCCATGTTGGTTTAGATAAAAATTCTGTTTAATTGAAGTTTGAGAAATTTCGTCTGGACGATTTTTTACAACAAAAGATAATTGTTTTAGAATATCATGCACGTACTGATGACGAGTCCCAAACAGGAAGAAACAGCTATCCAGTGCTTTTTGTCGGTTATCTCAAACAGTTCTATCGCACTTCTTTCAAGTTACTTTCAAATGAAAAGTGTCTAACTCGGAATAGTCGCGGTTGAACTACGCGGAAACATCGACTGTAAAATGACAATCTCCATAAGGTTATAATTANGATAAGCTTTATGCAATGCCATAGAATAGATTAATATATTTCTTTGTGCCAAGGTTTTCACAATAATTTGAGCCTAAACGGCCTAGAAAATGCTTTTCCACAGTTATGCACAACACATTCATTTTTGGAATCAGATAACAGACAACCTATATCCGATCAGCCATAGGAAATCGCCGTTGGTTTACTTTGCCACAAATTTTGTTTTGACTTTCGACAAAGGTTCTGTGTAGTCCCCATGCGGTTTCAGATTTACTAATCCCTCAAATTCCCAAATTAAAAACAAGGGGAAACCTCCAGCAATATTATTGATTCGTACACAATCACTCAAGATGACATTCATAGTTCTTGATTCGCGTCAAAATGGTTAGAAAGAAGCAAAACACTCCAACCCAGAAAGTGAGGCACGTGACATCCTTCACGGACGGAACTTAACGATTGGACCTCTTCGAACTGAGTTGGGATCAATATGGCGAGACATGCAGTAGCCACATTTGAATTGGGGACGACGCTAGCCCGTATTCCTGACCAGGATAAACAAGGAACACCTAATAATGTCTACCGTAATGGGAAGTAAGTACTATTTTCGGGTAAATTGAGAGCACCACAACAATTTGCAGATGAAACCAAAGAAACCTGTCCCGTATGGGAGTCCTACTACGGTGTCAAATCGTTGGTGAGTTAACTAGGCCTATATCACGAGAAAACCCATGAGGAAATTTCGAAAATTTGATATGAATTTCTCTCCATTTGAGGTTATAAAGCTGGTAGCTATGTTCTCGCTGATGATATTGCCTACTTTTTCACCAGAAATTCAACTGGATGCACGAAACCTTTGTGAAGAATTAGCTTCGGCATGTTTCATGGTACACCGAGAATCTGTAAAGTTGTCACTGGGGTTCCTGTTTTGTGATATCTGCTGTTGATCTTCTCGGTTCATCCTATTAATGTTTCATTTAAGTATTTCTCCAGAGAGTCAACTGAAAAACAGTTAGTGAAACTACTTCATTAAATTCTACATTACTTGCCGTTGCTTGTTGGACACCTGTCCATTACTTTTTGTTATTAGTCCTGACATTCGTTCTAAGAAAGATCACAGTGATACCATATTTTCCGACAGGTGCCCGTTTATGACTAAAGATCTAATGAATAAGACGCAAGTAACTATTCGGTTTTCCGGTTTTTGATACCATTATACGGTGTTCGATCCATGTTTATTTCGGTGTTCTGAGTTGTGTTTTTTAGAGCTTTACAAGCAGCACCAATCTTCAAGCAAATACACTGTATAGTTGTCCCGGTTAATGTACGGTTAGATCATGGCGGGTTCAGTTTATCATGGGTATCTTAAATGGAAATCTATTTCTATTTTGCGAAACTTTCACTTCATTGCAGATTTTGCGTTAAGTACGTAAAAACTAATTCAGTACTTAGGAAAGGTACATATGAAAAATAACTATCAAAACCGTTTTTTAATATCACATATCACCTGATTCCTAAAACAATAGAAAAGCAAAATGAAAAGTAAATCAAATGTGACCAGACAAAATAAGTTTGTAATAAGATGCAGTAAAAACTTCATAAAGAAAGAAACGAATACCGCAAAAACATTTCCAGAGGTGCCGATAACGATAACCATCATTTCAGAGAAAACAAAACAGACGTTTAGGAGATTAGCGGAATTAGGACGTAGGACCACAGCAAAGAGTAAAGTAAAAAGACCGAGCCATCTAACAGAATGGTAAATCATCAACATTATCAACATGGTCGTCAACATTAACATCAATATCATCAATATCAATATCATCATCATCATCTTCATCTTCATAATTATCTCTAAAATGTCTTGTAAGTTTCACCTGGTTTGGTTGTGATGACACTACAAAAAGGTTTCTCAACGAGCAGCTAACCTCAAGATCAACTTTCCAAGGTCAACTATGTACCATTTCAGCATTAGGGATAATGAGTGAGTAGACTTTTAGGCTAGAATTTTTTAATTAATTGGCGTGTTTACCGTACACTGAATCGAAAGATATAAGCAATTCAGAATAAGTGTCCTTATCTTAATAATTGCTATAATGGGATGGAAATCATTCATTAGAACGAAAAAATTCAAATATGCCTTGTATGAAGTATTTTCCAAATATGAGCAGTTACTTTCGAACTACTACAAGTATTATCGCGACATTCAACCCTATCTTAGTCAAAGTCAAAGTCAGGTGGACTGAGGGGACCTTTCGCTTTAGGTTGAAGGGGGACTGATTGGGCTGCCGGCATGCATAGAGCGGGGGGCCACAATGCTTGGTCCTTGGACCATTGCTATTTCTGGTCTTCATCAACGACCAATGTTTCTGTTTACCGGTTCTTCTAATCCCCATTTATGGATCCATGCACTGCGATACAAAGTTTCCCGAGTAACAAAGTAAACTAATTGATTGCTTTTATTCAGAAAATGCTTTCTAAACAACAACAAAACCTCAACATATATGCAAACAGGTACATGTCTGTTGATGTTTATCTAATTTCCGACATTGATATTTTGCCTCAGACAGTGATTTTTATTCATGATTGCACGATTTTCACTAGAACGTATTTGAAAAGCAAAACCAGAACAATGTTTCTCTCTAGTTTCGCTCCCGATACTGCCTAGTATGGAAGAACAAAAAGTTTGCTTGCTCAATAGAAATAACTGAGATTAAAATCGCAATAACATAAGCAACCTGTGTCGCATTTCTTCTTTCAAAAACCGGAGCACGCAAAAATTTGGAAAATCAGACTGAAATAAATGAGAAGCTTCATTTCACGCATACTTTCCATGGATCAGCAAATTGGGATGGAGGTTTCCTAAATTCGCTCACACCTCTTCAGAGCAATATTAGTGAAATTAAAAAGCACTAGATTTCAAAATATTTTGTGGTTTAAGACATCTAATTATTTTTATTTTTTCATCCACCTGTGTTTAGAATTTGAAAAGAAGCACGTGCCAATGCATGGTACTGATATACTATAATTTGAATCAAGTTGCTTTTGGCAAATTTCGTAACACGATGGTGGTTCACTCACCCATCATGCAGGCCTATGGGAACGGTCAATTTTTGGGTGTCGCTAAGGTGAGCGTATATTTGTTTACACAAACTCACCCGCAACCGGACAGTCAGACTTCCTCAATGTATTACATTTTTTCTCTTTTTCTCTGCGTACCCCGTATTTGATAAAAATTCATGATTATCTTGATTAAAATAGCTCGAGGCTATCAACGTTATTGAAATGAATGGGAGGACGCTACTTAAACTTCTGGAGAATATAGGCTTTGGGCAGGCGTTCATCATGTCTCCACGTGGGTTAGGATTTAGATTTAATCGAACAATCATTTTATGTTTTCCGTTTTGGTAAAAAGCATTAGCGAGTGAGACGCACTTGAAGTCATGAAATCTGCTCAAGGGAACAGAAAATAATGTCGCCAGATGCAATACCTACCTGGATAAATGATACAAATCACGCTTTACAGTTTGAAGGTCTAGAGCGATCGCAAAATATTGCTACTGATCACTGCATTGGAAAAGCATGCATTTATACCCTGACTAAACTGAGTTAACATCCAGTCAACGAGAATGCCTCAGACAGCCTGAGGAACGTCAAGTGCCGTCAATAACAGTTGTTCCAAGGAGCAAAACATAGTTAGAATTTGTCGTTAATGCGCCTGTTCTTCAAAGTCAGTAAAACTTGACTATAAAACCACATTTGCAACCACACATAGCTTCTGAAGCTTATCTATCTGACAGTCAATCTGATTTAAAACTGATTGAGCTAGAAATTGAAGAAATGAATGTAAAAAGATCAGTGCTATTGGTGTGGCCTCGTAGCTCAGCTACTAGAGCGTGTGCTGTAAAAAAGAGTAGATGGCGTCCATGCGTGGTTTTGAATCCCATCGAGGCTCCTAAAATTCAAAATAAGTGTCCTAAAAATTGAATGTGCTCTGCAAGTGTCTATTTGCCAACGTTGCATAATCAAGTAGTCAAACTCCCATTCAAATCAACTATTACGTTCCTACTCCCGGACTACTCTCACCACGCTCATTGCCTGCATTCTTTGAATATCATCCCATTTATTTATTGATAGAGGTTATTATCGCAAGTATCCTAGAGTGATCATTTCCCAAACTCTTTAATCTGCCCTGTGTTCATCATAACAGTCCATTTCATATATTGCTAATTAAATCTTGCGGTGTATGGCTGTGTGTCACCAAGTCTTATGGACGGATTTCTATGGAATTCCCAATCTGCATTTTGCCCCGTAATTTGATTATTCGGCGACACTCTCATCTATCAGTATCTAATTCTGTTTGACATGTAAAAAACACATCTTCCGACCATATTTTTCCATGTCCCATTGTCAGGACATTTGTTGCGTGGAAGGTGTGATGCCAAAGAACCAGAACATTGGTCTTCTATCTTTTGATCACACGGAAGAGGCAACAAAATGCATGGAATCAACACCTGAATTACGTGAACCACATCACTACGGAGGACAGGAACTTTATATCGTTCCGCTTTGTAGCCCTGCACAATCCTGGCCAGGTGAGTAGAACACACTATTTAGAACGCTAGGAAAGTTTATACTGCCCCTAAACTGAGACATCACTGCCCAAACGATGTATTCAAACTATGGCCTAACCGGTTGCTTTGACCGTTCACATGCAATCACATCACTGATGAATAGTGGGATATGAATACAATTTCCGTTGTAGTTTCTTACTTTGTAGTTAAGTTTTGATAACAGAAATAGCGGTAATCTATTTGTCTTAAAACTAAGAGGAAACAATACCCAAAATTTACCCGTTCAGTCAGTCCGCTTATGAAATGCCCAGAAGGTGAGTGCTGGGAGCAAGTTCTTTGATCAATAAAGCCTACACGAAGTTCATCTGATGGCCTATTTGGCAGTGACCTAGTCTTCGTCATTGCATAAGGATATGATGAACAAGTAAGGCTGAAAAGTCAAAATAAGATGTTTAACTGTGATGTGTGTCCATACCTCGACCGTCAAAAATGCTGCACGACTGTCTTCAGTCTTCAGGATTGAGGGCAGAATGCCCGTGTAAGCCCCATCACCACTGGGTCGAAGGTCCGATCACAAGTGTTTGTTCCTCCATAGCCCCTTCAGGTGCTCATCCAGACGCCGTTTGAAAGCAGCGCCCGTCTTCTCTTCCACCACAATCGCTGGGAGGGAATTACAGTGTTGTTGACCTACGCGAGAGTCGGTGGACTAACGGAAGACCAACTGACTGAAGTTTCCGCAACCTGAGAAAGTGCCCCGCGTGCGGTGCTCTGTCCGTAAAGGGAAGTACTGTTGCAGCTCCGGGCCCATATCACCTCTCATGATCTTCCTAAGGCAGATGAGATCTCCCCTGAGGCGTCGATACGCAATTGGGAACAGACGAGTAACCTGTAGACGACCTTCATAGCTGGTCCCGCGTAGTCCAACAAGGAGTCTAGTGGCAGCACGTTGTACACGCTCCAACTTAGCCAGTTCACCGGCCGTGCAGAGGTATGTCGCCGCACCACCGTACTCAAGTCTTGGTCTGACATGAGAGGCGTACAGCGGCCTGAAAATGTCCATCGTGAGCTGGTCGAAAGACCACCGAATAGGCCCCAGAATGCTCCATGCGCTAGCACAGACCCGATCGTTGTTTTCTCGGATTATTAGTGATGACGTAACCATAAAACCCAGGTCTCGTTCGCACGATATTCTGCACAATGTAGTCCCCTGGAAGTTGTTGACTACCTCTGAGTCAGCATGCCCCAAATGCAAGTGAGCACACTCTGCTATGTTGACTGGAAGAGCCCAGGTGTCCGCCCACTGAGCCAGGTTGTTCAAATCC